AAAAAGAAAAAATAGTATCAACACTCTGGCCCTCACTTTCCACACCCTATAGTCTCACTGCCAGACTAGCCACACTGAAAGCAGGAGGAGTCTGGAAAAGATACTCTCCCAAGAAAGCATGCCAGTTTGTTATTTTCACCTTTAAAAATATTTCTTAAACTAAATATTTCTTAAACACAATTTCTTCAACAACAACAAAATGTGGAGAAAGGTATACCATGCTAACACAAATCAAAAGAAAGCTGGAGTATATGTATAAATTTCACACAAAACAGACTTCAAAACATGGAAAATTAACAGGGATAAAGAGGGTTATTCCAAGAAGACAAAATAATCCTTAATGAATATGCACTTAACAACAGAACACCAAAATATGTGAAACAGAAATTGATATAGCCAAGAGGAATGGACAAATCCACTATTACAGTTGGAGAATTCAACATTCTTCTATCAATAATTGATAAATCTAGCAGGCAGAAAATCAAGATATACTTGAACTAAATTGCAATATTTTTTTTTTTAAAGATTTTATTTATTTATTCGACAGAGAGATCACAAGTAGGCAGAGAGGCAGGCAGAGAGAGGAGGAAGCAGGCTCCCCGCTGAGCAGAGAGCCCGATGCGGGGCTCGATCCCAGGAGCCTGGGATCATGACCTGAGCCGAAGGCAGCGGCTTAACCACTGAGCCACCCAGGCGCCCCCTAAATTGCAATATTAATGAACTGGGTCCAATTAACATTTACAGTATACTTCATCAAAGAACAGAATACACATTCTTCTCCAACTCACATGGAACACTCGCCAAGACCACATTCTGGACCATAAAACACACCTAAGTAATTTAAAAGAAATCATACAAAGTATGCTCTCAGCCCACAGTGGAATTAAACTAGAAATCAATAACAGAAAGATAACTGGATTTTTTCCAGGAAACAGTCTGAGGGTCTTAGAGGGGAGTGGGGTGGGGGGATGGGTTAGCCCGTGAGGGCACGTATTGTGTGGAGCACTGGGTGTTTTATGCAAACAATGACTCATGAAACACTAATTACATCAAAAACTAATGATGGGGGCACCTGGGTGGCTCAGTGGGTTAAGCCGCTGCCTTCGGCTCAGGTCATGATCCCAGGTTCTGGGTTCAAGCCCCACATAGGGCTTTCTGCTCAGCAGGGAGCCTGCTTCCTCCTCTCTCTCTGCCTGCCTCTCTGCCTACTTGTGATTTCTCTCTGTCAAATAAATAAATAAAATCTTAAAAAAAAAAAAAAAAACTAATGATGTACTGTATGGTGACTAACATAATAATAATAAAAAGAAATAACTGGAAAATTCCAAAGTACATGGAGCTCAAACAACATACTTCTAAATTGCACATAGGTCAAAGAAGAAATCTTGGGAAATTTTTTAATATTTTGAACTAAATGAAAATTAAAATACAAATGACCAAAATGTAGGGGATGGGGCTCCTGGGTGGCTCAGTTGGTTAAGCGACTGCCTTCAGCTCAGGTCATGATCTTGAAGTCCCAGAATCGAGGACCGCATCGGGCTCCCAGCTCCATGGGGAGTCTGCTTCTCCCTCTGTCCTTCTCTACCCTCATGCTCTCTCTCATTGTCTCTCTCTCAAATAAATAAATAAAATATTTTTTTAAATGTAGGGGATGCAGCAAAAACAGTGCTTGAAGGGGAATTTATAGCATTAAATCCATAGGTTACAAAAGAAAGAAAATTTATAATTAATCTATCGCCTCACCCCTGTTAGAATGGTTATTATTTAAAAAACAAGAGATAACTAGTGCTGGCAAGGATATGGAGGAAAAATGAACCCTAATGAAGTGTTGGTAGAAATGCACATTGTTATAGCTACTTTGGAGGACAGTATGGAGCTTCCTCAAAAATATAAGGTAGAACTACCATATATGGTCCAGCAATCCCACTTCTGAGTATATACCCAAAGGAAATGAAATCACTATCTCAAAGACTTATCTGCACCCCTGTATTTATTGCATTGCAGCATTATTCACAATATCCAAGATTTGGAAACAACCTACATGTCCAATAACAGATAAATAGATATAGCGCACACGCACACATATACACAGGAATATTATTAAGCCATAAAAAAAGAAAATCCAGCCACTTACAATAACATAGGTCAGCCTTAAGGGCATTGTGTTTAGTTTTATAGATATCCAAAAAAGACAAATATGGCATGATCTCACTTATATATGAATCTAAAAATGCCAAACTCATAGAAACAAGAGGGTTGATTGGTCATTGCCAGGGCCTGAGGGTTGGGAGAAATTAAATAAGTTCTTGGAATCTACTGTAAGACATGGTGACTATAGTTAACAATACTGTGTTGTATACTTAAAATCTGCTAAGAGAATAGATCTTAAATGTTCTCATCACACACAAGCACACACAAAGGTAATGAAGTGAGGTGATGAATGTGTTACTTAACCTTATTGTGATAATCTGCAGTATGTATATCAAGTCACACTGTATGCCTTAAACTTACAATGTTCTATGTCAATTATATCTCAATAAAGTTGGGGGGAAATAAAATAAAATCAATAATCTAAGCTTCCATGTTAGAAAACTAAAGAAAGAAGAGCAATATAAACTTAAAGCTAGCAGAAGAAATAATAAAAATTAGAGAAAAAATCAATGAAATTGAAAATTGGAAGAAAATGCAGAAAACTCAAAGCATAAAGTACCTCTTTGAAAATATCATTAAAATTGATAATCCTCTAGCCAGGCTAACGAAGAAAAGAGAACACATAACTTACTAATATCATAAATGATATTAAACATTAAAAGGATAATAAAGAAAATTACAAACAACTGTATTAACACAAATTTGATATCTTCAATAATGAATGGACCAATTCCTTGAAAAACACAATCTACCAAAACTTATACATGGAGAAATAAAAAAATCTGAATAGGCATACATCTGTTAAAGTATTTGCATCAGTAATCTCTCAGACAGAAAGCACTTGGCCTAGATGATTTCACTGGTGAGTTATATCAAATATTTAAGGAATAAATGAGGCAAATTCTCTAAAATCTGTTCTAGAAAAAAGAAGCAGAACACCTCCTACCTCATCTTATGATGCCAGCATTACTCTAATACCAAAACCAGGTAAAGACAATAGAGGAAAAGAAAACTGCAAACTGACATCACTAATGAATGACCTTATCTCAACAAAATAATAGCAAATTGAATCCAACAAAGCATAAAAAAAAATTATAAACCATGACAAAGTAGGATTTATTCCAGATATGCAAGGCTGTTTCAGCACTGGAAAACCAATTAATATAACCCATCACATCATCAGACTAAAGAAGAAAGATTATATAATTTTATTAATATATACAATAAAAATATTTGACAAAAATCCAACACCTATTCATGATAACAACAACAACTCAGCAACCAGGAATAGAAAAGAACCAACTCAACTTTATAAAGAATATCTACAAAGAACCTATAGCTATCATCACACTTAGTCAAGAGAAACTAAATACTTTCCCCTGAAAATCAGGAATAGGGTAAGAATGTTCCTTCTCACCCACTCCCATTCAGCGTTTTACTAGAAGCCCTAGCAAATGCAGTAAGACAAGAAAGGGATAAAACGTGTATAGTCTAGGAAAGAAGAAATAAAACTGCCTTTGTTGGCAATTCAGATGATTGCCTATGTAGGAAACCCCAAAGAATCAACAACAACAACAACAAAAAACCAGGATAAGTAACTTGATCAAGGTTGCAGGATACAAGGTTAATATACAAAAATCACCATTTTCTAAATGCTTTTTTTAAAAAGTATTCCACATGTTGGGGTGCCTGGGTGGCTCAGTGGGTTAAAGCTGCTGCCTTCGGCTCAGGTCATGATCCTGGGGTCCTCGGATCGAGACCCACATCGGGCTCTCTGCTCAGTGGCGAGCCTGTTTCCCCTTCTCTCTCTGCCTACTTGTGATTTCTCTCTCTGTCAAATAAATAAAGAAATTAAAAAAAAAAATCCCACCTCCTAATACCATCATATTTAGGGGTAGGGTTTAAAAAAAAAAAAAAGTATTCCACATGTTTGCACATACTTTTAATCTGCTCCCATAAAACATCCTAGTTTGTGGCCCATACATTATTCACCTTAAGAATTAAAGATTTTTTTTTTAAAGATTTTATTTATTTGTCAGAGAGAGAGAGGGAGAGAGAATGAGCACAGGCAGACAGAATGGCAGGCAGAGGCAGTGGGAGAAGCAGGCTCCCCGCCGAGCAAGGAGCCCGATGTGGGACTCGATCCCAGGACGCTGGGATCATGACCTGAGCCGAAGGCAGCTGCTTAACCAACTGAGCCACCCAGGCGTCCCAAGAATTAAAGATTTTATGCAAAATTTAAAATCTGTACAAACAAAAATCTACCATATGATTTCACTTATATGTGGAATCTAAACAACAAATGAATAAACAAAAAGCAGAAACAGACCTATAAATACAGAAAACAAACGTGATTGTCAGAGGGGAGGGAAGTAAGGGGATGAGCAAAATGGGTAGAGGGGAATGGGAGGTACATGCCTCCAGTTACAGAATGAACACATCACAGGGATGAAAGGTACAGCATAGGGAGCTGCAGTGAGAGGCAGACAGTGGGATTAGCATATTTCTTGATAATAATGTGGCTTCCTGTGTCCTATATAAGTAGTTCTCAAAAGTCAGGTGTTCATAAAAATTATTTCTGGCACTTAAGGGGTCAAGGGGAAGAAGGTGAAGGGTAGAGGCAGATGAACAGGTGGTGAGAAGTGAATTCATGTGGGTGCCTGGTGAACGAAGCAGTGTTCATTGGGTTTAGTGGAGACAGAGATTTGTCTACCAAAAAGGGATGGTAGCATTCAGAATTATTCAGTGAATTGATCGCAGCCAGTTCAGCCAGTATCTATGTGATCAGGAGACTATTCAGGGAGACTTTAAAGAAGACCTGTCACTGCCCCTTCTCTCTGCACCTATAGGGGATACTCTGAGGCTCCGAACAATTCTGGAAGCAATACAGAAGCACATCCATTCTTCCTCCCTCATCTTCAAACTGGCCCAAGATGCATTCAAGATTGCCACTCCCACAGATAGTAGTACTGACAGCACCCTGCTCAACGTGGCCCTGGAGCTGGGGTTACAGGTATGGAGGAGGAATAGGTTATCCCTGCTTTAGGCTTCTGGCGTAGTGATCATTGGTAGAATATAAGATCCCAGAGGCACTGGGCATTAACCAGCTAAGCCCAGTTCTTTCTGTGTCCCCAGAACACAACTTTTTGACTAGGCTTCTAGGTAAGGATCTCCAAATTGAGCTCCATTTTGAAGTTAAGGCCAGAAGCAATGTAGCTTTAGGCTCCATCGGTTCCCCATTTTCTCTCCACCCCTCCCCATTCCTCCCAAGTCAATAATAAGGTGTGACAGTAAGGACTTCGTTACAGGTCATCAGAGAAATCTTCTATCTGATTGGTGGGAGGAGTGGGCAGAAATTAAACAAACCTGTCTGTACTTATCAGAGATGGCTGCTTAATAGACACTTGTTGCATAAATGGATGGTAAGGGGATGTGGGGATGTAGAAGTCCAACAGTTACGCTTAGCCAAGTGGAAATGCCTCCTTTTTGCTCAGGTGATGAGGATGACCTTATCAACTCTTAACTGGAGGCGCCGGGAGATGGTGCGGTGGTTGGTGACCTGTGCTACAGAAGTGGGTGAGTCTTCCACTTCCCTCTAATCCCCAGGGAAAGGAGTTCTTGGGCCCTACTCTTGGAACAAGACAGTGAATCCTTAGAGCTCTCATATTCCTTTTACTGATGTCCTGGGAAAGCATGGGGCTGCTGATGGGAAAGCTGGCCTTTATTTACCTAGCCCAAGCTCTGCCCTCACTGCTCGGACCATACCCTGATGTCAGCAGCACTTTGACCCTCCAATCAGAGACACATTTGAGAGATTGAATTTTCAGCCACCAGTATACAAGTGCACCCTTGGGAGGTAGTTGGCCCAGTGGTTTGGTCCCAGTCCCTGCCTGTGCTTCTAAAAAAACCCCAAACAACTTGGAGTGTCAGGACCCCAACTAAAACCCAAAGTCCCAGCATGAGACTCTACCCTAAGAGGTCCCACTTCAGTTAGAACCCCCAGGCAGATCTGTGACTACCACAGGCTCTGCTGCTCCATCCTTGTGAGGGGCTAAGAGCACCTGCAGAAATCTTCGACCCTATGACTTGGGGAAGGAAGAGGAAGGGAGAGACCCCAAACAGGGTCTGGCCATCCGGGATGCTCCTTGGTTTGCCTCAGATCATCTCAAGGCTGCTGAGGAGGAGGGAGAACTCATCTCTGCAGGCCAAGTTCTGACCCACAAAGGGTCATCTGGGCAGACCTGGATCGGGACCCGGATGGCCACGGCTGAGCTGAGGCTCTCCCTGACAGGTGTGCGGGCCCTGGTGAGCATTTTGCAGAGCTGGTACACACTCTTCACCCCCACCGAGGCTACTAGCATTGTGGCTGCCACAGCTGTATCCCACACCACTATCCTGCGCCTCAGTCTTGACTATCCACAGCGGGAGGAGCTGGCTAGCTGTGCTCGCACGCTGGCCCTACAGTGTGCCATGAAGGATCCCCAGAGCTGTGCCCTGTCAGCCCTTACACTCTGTGAGAAAGACCACATCGCCTTTGAGGCAGCCTATCAGATCGCCATTGATGCTGCCACCGGCGGCATGACACATTCACAACTGTTCACCATTGCCCGCTACATGGAGCTCCGTGGCTACCCGCTACGTGCCTTCAAATTGGCCTCCCTGGCCATGAGCCATCTCAACCTGGCCTACAACCAGGATACCCATCCAGCCATCAATGATGTGCTCTGGGCGTGTGCCCTCAGCCACTCTCTGGGCAAGAACGAGCTGGCAGCCCTCATCCCCCTGGTGGTGAAGAGCGTGCACTGCGCCACGGTGCTTTCAGACATCTTGCGGCGCTGTACAGTGACGGCCCCCGGCCTGGCGGGCATCCCAGGCCGCCGCAGCTCTGGAAAGCTCATGTCCACCGACAAAGCTCCGCTGCGCCAGTTGCTGGATGCCACCATCAATGCCTATATCAACACTACACACTCACGCCTGACACACATCAGCCCTCGCCACTACGGAGAGTTCATCGAGTTTCTGAGCAAGGCTCGGGAGACCTTCCTGCTGCCCCAGGACGGCCACCTGCAGTTTGCCCAGTTCATCGACAACCTCAAACAAATCTACAAGGGCAAGAAGAAGCTGATGCTGCTGGTTCGAGAGCGCTTTGGCTGAGAAAGCAAACAACTCACTGCCGGGGCAGCCTGGGCTCCCAGGTACCACAGGTCAGGCCAAGGACACTGAAACATTCGTCCACCCTGAGAGGACTCTGAGCTCCTGTTGCTGAAGCCAAAGCACCACAGGGCTAAGCATGGGAGAGTCCAACTCTAGCCAATATGCCTTCCTTGGCAAAGTTCTCACTACAGCCCACTGTTCCTGAAGGAGCTGGGCCCTGCAGATTGATCAGAAACCCCACAACATGCCACCTCACGCCCTTATATCCTGCGTGTCCTGGGCATTGGCCCGCTCTCCCTTGGCAAACACAGAACACTGTTCCGTCTCAGGGATCGCTTAACCAGAGAAACAGAAGCATTTATGGTACTGTAAATACTATAGTATATGTGTTGCCAATTACACTGTAAAGTTGTAACTATTTATAATTCTGGTTCTAATTTGATGGGTACTTGAAGTAGCTGTGGGTGGGAAGATAGGCTTGTTTTCTGAGGAGACGCAACCATTTCTCAGGTTTCCCTTGCAGAATATATACAGTTTGCAGTGGAAGAGTGGGGGTGGTGGGGAATACAACGACCGGTTAGAATAAATCCCAGGTCTAGTCTATGCAGAAACCCCAGCCTGCAGACACAGGGCATCTATATAGCCCAGTGGTGGGAGAGGGCCAGGGCCAGGACTGGACTTAGACTCTTGCCTCATGAAGCCACAAGGACAGTGAAGCTCTCACTCCTGCCACACACAGCCTCTCTAAGAACCTGTTGAGCTCCTGAGAAGTAAGTGCAGGGAGAGGGTGAAGGTCTGGGAGGCCACTGAGCTCATTAACATTCATCTACTCTGGTCACCTTTGTGTTAGAGAGTGTCTGGTTTTATCTCAAACTATGTATGTGTGTATATGTATCTGTATGGCTAAGTACGTGTGTCTCTGTGCATAGATCTGTGCATACCTGTCTTGCACATGTACTTATGTCTGTCTGTCGGGTCTGTGTGTCAGTACATGTC